AACCACCCAGGAGATGGGTGGAATAAAAACCAAACACCCCCCACCCCACCCTTACTGCCAATCCTCAACAGAAATGCTCACAACAATGAAAACCTTGAACAGGAAGAAGAACCCCGCTGGGTGGGCAGGCAGGTGTCTTGCTCGGCTGTGGCTTGGGGGACCCTTTTTTCAGTGCCATTGTAACTTCGAACAGTCATTAAGCAAACTGTTGTAAGTCGAGGACTACCTGTACTTTATCAACTTTTTCCTTTTTTTTTTTTGGTCATCAAGTTTTTGATACCTTGCTAGGCGACTGGTGGTACTCGGATATTGCCATATCCTAAAAGTGGTACAATGGGTGAAAAGGTTGAAAAGCCCTGGACTAGAACACAGAAAAATGAATTAGTTGATAGATTAGGCATCCAGACTACAAAGAAAATAAAACATCTAAGGATACAATTAACAGCTAGATGTACCACACTTAAAGGAGATAATTACGACAAATTAATGGAGCAGATTAAAATTGACCTGGATAGGTGGACAAACCTACAGCTTTCTTTTATGGGAAGAATTGCTGTAATTAAAATGAACGTGCTACCCAAAATACTATTTTTGTTTCAATGCATACCGATCAAATTAGATAAGGATTTTTTTCAAAATTTCAACCAAATCATACTCAAATTTATTTGGCAAGGGAAAAAAGCAAGGATTAAATTAAAATTATTGCAAGATTCTAAGGAGAGGGGCAGATTCGGTCTCCCGGATTTGGAAAAATATTATCAAGCTACAATATTAATATGAGTCCGGGACTGGATACAATTAAAAAATAGGAGATTATTATGATTGGAAGGCTATGATATGCAGATTGGGTGGCACGCCATATTATGGGATGAGAAATATAAGGTTTACCAGTACTTCCGGAGGCATTATATTAGACGAGCGTTAATAGATGTGTGGATTAAAATCAGGCGACAAAATTATAGGCAAATTCCTAATTGGATTTCAACATTGGAAATGCACATACATCCAATGTTCATACAACTAGGGAAAGTAATAACATATAAAAACATATTAGATGAGAGAGGAGAATTGAAATCAAGGAAAAATCTTCAGGATGAAGGAATAGAACTGGAATTGTGGGCTTATCTCCAATTGCAATCAAGATATAGGAAAGATAAATCAGATTGGGGTATAAAAACAGAGTCGACAGAGTTAGATAAAATATTACTAGGAACCGAAGATAAAATCACTACCTTCTAGACCAGGCAATGTATGAAGAGCAGGTCAAGGAAACTATGTTAATGTGGAGTAGGGATTTCGGCTTTAATATTGATCTGCATATCTGGCAAGAATTGTGGGAAAGAAACAGGAAACTTACCTTAGCTACTTCTTATAAGGAAAATCCTTATAAAATGTTTTACAGATGGCATTTCCCACCCACGAGGTTAGCCAAAATGGGCGCAAATCTTTCACCTATATGTTGGAAATGTAAAATAGCAATAGGGACCTATTACCACATGTGGTGGGAATGTCCTAAAGCCTGTGATTATTGGAATAGGATAAGAAAATGGTTGAAAGAAATATTAATGTTGGAGATAGAGCTAAAACCTGAACTCTTTCTATTGGGCATAACCACAGATAAATACGAAAAGGGAATAGTCTACTTGATGTTGTACATCTTGAGATTGGTGTTTGCACAAAAATGGAAGAACAAAGAAACTCCCACAGATGAAGAGATACTGCATAAGATACTATCTTGTGCTGAAATGGACAGGCTTACGATGGAATTGAAAGATAAAAGCGGATCAGAATATTTTGAAATCTGGGATAAATTGTACTATTGGTGGGAATCGAGGAGGACTGTTGGGGTTATAGATTAGCGGGTTGGAGTTATAGATTAGCGATTGGAAATATATATATTCCTAGGTTAGCAAATAGAGAAAATGTATTATGAATGTATAAGTATTGTATAATAAGTTTATATATATTTATAGAGACAAAGAATTGAATGTAAAAGGAGAAATAATTTGATAGAAATGTTTAAACTGGAATGTTACGTCACGTCCAATGTTTTCTTTTTCTTTTTTAATTGTATTATAAATAAAAAACTTTTTTAAAAAATAAAAAAAATCAGTGGATCCATCATTAAAATAAATTCTTCCCTAAAGATCTTGTTCACTGCACTACACATAACCATTTGGGCTTTAAAAGTATATGCCAATATCTGAAATTGTGCCTGATAAGCAAGTGGAACTCTTACAGATATATAATTCTTTTACTTTGCATTAGTTAGCAGTTTAGCTGTTATGTACCAATTGCAATTTTGATTAGGGAGGGTAAAAGTGAAATGAATTAAGTTATTGGAGAAAAGGGAATCCCAAAGTCAAGGATTCTAATGAAAAATGGAAGTGAATAGCCTATGGAGGTTAAAAAAAAAAGGATAGAGAAATAAGAAACAACAAAACTGGAACTCTGGAAGAAAGAAAATGAGTTGGCTCTCCAAGAGAGTGAGATTTGAGAGGTGAATTTCTTTACAGAAATATGAAGATACATTTACTGGCAGAGACAGAAACAAAACTGAGCAAGTTCACTGTCATACAAAGAGGTGCATTCTTACTTTCTTTCCCCAATTATTTTATACATATATTCCTGTTTTCTGCTTGTTAGCTGCCCAGAGTTATTTGATCAAAATTTACATAATAAAAAAGATAATAGACAAAGAAGGTGACGTTTTTTTTTAATTGAAACCTGGGTTCACACAAGTGGCTTTGGAGTCAGAATCACTTTGGTTTTATTCTGTACTTAGTTTCTTGGACAAATGATTTGCCTTTAAGTTTTGCCACTTCTATTATGGTACGAACATTATAGCAACTGTTATGTTAATGCACATGATCTTTTCATAACCACTTTATAATAGCACCCACACAATTTTTCAAAGTCTGAAATGTGTTTATAATGCTGCAAGTTATAAGAGAATTTTTAACTACAATAGATTCATAACAGGTATCTTGCATAATTGAACTGGGCAGAAAATATTGCTGATAATTTTTTTAAACATGACAAATGCATGTGTGCATGCATGTACACACACAAACACACATCTATCTATCAACTTGGTCTGAATATTCAAAGTCCGAGAGTGCCAAGGAAATAACAAATAATGATATGGGTACAAATACGTCAAGTATTAATAGCTGTGAGTCCTCAGTGACAGAAAACAGAATTGAACCTCTCTGCACATGGATCACTTGCTTTATATATTTAAGTAAAACATTTCTGTTTAATTTTATGGATTAAATGCTAAGTACTGTCCTAGGTTACTACTGGATGCAGAATTTGATCTCAAAATTTGATCTCTAACTCTATTAAGAAACAGCTGTGAGAGATGGTCCTTTGAAAGAAAGCATGTGTTGCCACTGTAAATCAGTAACTTTTTAAAGTAATAGTGGGATGAAGGAGATAAGTATAATATGAAAATATTATATTTTAATTATATTTACACACTTGTATAATCATGTAAAGCAGATGGGTTAGTGGCCCAGGGGGGAGGGGAAAAAGAGAGGATGGTCTTGTGGGAGGGGCAGGTGCGTGTGCACCTGCACAAGCATCCGTTGCTCATGCGAGTGGAGTAGAGAGCACAAGGGAGGCCCCGAGCACTTGCGCAAGTGTGGTCCTGAGCGCCTGCCATGCTCACATAAGACCCCGAGCTCTCGTGCGAGGCCCCGAATGCTCACGAGTGGGGCGACTTGGACAAACTAGGATGGAAGTCCTTGAGTGCTTGCACAAACGAGGCCCTGAGTGCTTGCACGGGAGGCCCTGAGCACTTGCGTGAGTGAGGCCACAAGCACCTGCAACGCTCATGTGAGAAGGGCTGTGCACACGCATGAGCACACACCAGCCAGTCACTCATGCAATCTGGTTGCGAATAGGCCACAGACCGGTAGTGGGTTGTGGCCCACAGGTTGGGGACCCCTGATGTAAAGAAGCAGGGAGTAGCTTATTGTTACTGACTAGGAAATCCTAATGACATCAATTATCTGCATCAAGAGAGGCTCTGCTATATTTTTCTAGTTTATGGACTAACAAACCTGCTCCACCTTTGCCTCCCAAATTACCAATAACCATGTTTTTCACTTTTTTTAAGATCAAACAGCAGAAGCTTGAAATTTTCATAACCTCAGCAGCCACCACTCATCTTTCATAATTATTTATCTCCATCCAGTATTTGCTCATTTCCCTCTCTTCTTATAACAGTTTTTGGATAATCAGATAATTTTTAAAAGTTCTAAAGTACAGGGAGAGAAAAATATACTTTTGATTATCTACATTATCATTGCTAATGTTTTCAAAAATAATAGAGAGTACTTCCTGACCTCTCATTCTATTTTGATCAACAGTATATATGTGATTTTCTAATATCACAATATAAATGGACTTGTCCATGTGTGCACATATGTGTATGTGTACACAGCACAGTATAACAACAGAGTTTCTCAATAAAAGTAAAACAAAATCTGGCCCATTTTTGTTTTGTTTTCAACTGATGACACAAAATATATTCTCACAATTTGTGCAACTCCTTGCTATTAATATTTGGTCAGTTTTGAGCATCCCATAACATGTGAGATACTTTATCTTACCAGGATTAAAAACCAACAGCCAACATTTCCCATCTCCCTACATATCCAGAGAGGTGGGAAGCAGGCAGAAAGAGCATCTTATTCTAGCCACAAGTTTTAAGTTCACCAAGGGGAATTCTCCTTCAGCCCGAGAGTGAGATTTTTATTGAAGTAAAGAAGAGAAAGGATGCAAAATGGATCTGTTACATTTCCCATAGAAAAGAGCAATCGATAGGCCTGCCCCGATGGCTATGGTGATGGCAGTCGCCGGCTACCCTGTTCTGATCTACCTTTCCTGACCCGGGCTGTCTTATCCTCGCCGCCGCCGCCCCCCATCCTTCCTCACTCCTACTTTTCCCGGTGAAGTGGCTGTCAGGCCAGGCCTCTTGCCCGCTCACTCACCGAGTGGAGGTGCCCTTTCTCACATCGCACATCATGCACTTGAAGGCCTCGGCGCTGTTCCGGAAGGTGCACACACTGCAGTCCCAATAGCCCTCGTCGGAGGAGGGTTTCTGTTGCCGCTTCGGCCTACCCAAAAAAGCGGCGGGGCGGGGGAGGGAGGAGGAGAGGGAGGACGAGGAAAAACGGAAGGAAATTTAAGACACAAAACAAGGCATCGCTGCGGCCGCCCTTTCCCCCCCCCCTCCCTGCTTCCCCTCAGGGCTTCGCTTCGCCTCGGCCTCCGCTTCCAACCAACTACCTCATCTCCTCCTCCTCCTCCTCCTCACCGCCATCGCTTCTGCTACGTTGGGGGGCGCCAAAGACTTTGGCAGCGGAAGACGGGGGGAGGGAGAGAGGAAAGAAGTGGGGAAGCCGGCCTCGCAGCCCTGCCGCCTCTGCCTGCCGTTTATTGACCGGCCTGTCCGTGGAGGCCCTGTCTGCCTACCTGTCTGAGAGCTTGCCCTCCCGCTCGCCTTTCTGCCCTCCTCACCTTGTGGGGCTCTTCTTGTCTCCCATGCCGACTATAGACGCGTCTCTAGACCGGCGCGGCCCTTTGTGTATTTGTCAATAAGGAAGAGTGACCGAAGACTCAGAGAGGCGGGAGCTGGCACTCAGGCGGAGGGACTCAGTGAAGCAGCAGCAGCAGCAGGAGGAGGAGGAGGAGGAGCCGCTGCAACCACTGTTGCTGCGGCGAACAGCTATCGCCTGCCGCCTACTCCCAAGCGCGGCCACCGCCACCTCCAGATGTCGGGGGAAATCCTGCTGCTGCCGCCCCCTTGCTCAACCCGACCTTGTGCTCCCCCTTTCTTCTCACTCACGTGTTCCTCCCATCGCCAACCAACGTCAGCCCACAGCCAAGCCGAGGCGTCCCAGACGGCGGCCGGGGGCAAAGCGGAACGGCTTTTGCCTTGCTCAGGCGGTGATGAAAAGGAGTCCTTTCTGGGGCCTGAAGCACCGCCGCCGGTTTTCCCTTTTGCGCAAAGACGCGCTCGCCTTACCTGAGATAGGTCTCTCCCCCCATCGTGAAGCCGTATTCTTTCCTAGGTCAAGCCTTTTAGCGAACGGTTGTCCTAATTTCCAACTTAACACAGTCGCTCATTTGGGTTAGCGTCTCCCAGCATGCCCACGCTGTCAACCCAAAATCATACCGTTGGATGCCATATAAATCCGGAGTGACTCTGTTCCACGTTTATACCGGTAAGGAATACAATACTGACTTCAGCTGTTTATGTAATTGGGTCCCCGAATGCCTGAAATTATCTCCCTCCAAGACATATACGCGCATCCGGCTCTGGTACAGCTGTCGGATCTCAGCTAAGACAGGATCAACTTGAGTGAAGGATTATTTAACAATGCAAACAACGAAATAGGATTGTGGTGAAGTAACTAATGTGCCTTAAGCAATTGTTATCATGTAAGCAATTGTTATCATGTAAGTAAGGGGAGTACATCTCATCCCTTCCCATATTCCTTGAAGAAATCACAGAACATAAAATGTAATATCAGCAGATATGCCATTATTATTTGGAATTATTACCAAAAGTGATTGTTGTAGCATCAGTTCACTATACTTAACCATTTCAATTTTTAGTAGATACATTATTTTAATATTTTCCTGGATCAATTGCGGATTCTTCCACATTTGCCATTAACCATGGCATGAACATAGTTCATGGCATGTGATTTTTTTACCTCATGATGTCTTTGTCTCATCCCCAGGCCTATCTAAGGCAGTTTTAAATCAGCCTTTAATCTATACCAATGTTTTCCCTCTTCAATTGTGTTATGGATATGATCTGTCATGCTTCACCAATCTTTTGGTTACAGATGCAGCCAGGGATTAGAATCTGCTGCATTCCTATTGGTCATTTTAGGCTACTGCAAACATGTATTCCCCCCCCCCCCCCGCTTCAGACACTAGGCACTATCCATGGCCATTTTAACTTGAACTGAAGGAATGACCAAACACCTGTTTTTTACAGAAGCATATGTATGTATAAATGCCTGACCAATAGTGATGGATGGACAAGATATGCTGGCAGATGAGGGCAAGTTTTTCCCGGGGGGGGGAGGTAAAGAGAGACGGGTAATTTTGGATACAATATTTATTTCAGGACCCATATCTCATATTTTGAGCTAGGCATTCTGGTAGCTGGGCGCCTTGGGCTCAGATTGATATTTTGAATGCCAGATTTATTTATAATAAAACTAATCGCATCCACAATTAAATTGTGGACAAGAGAGCAGTGCTGACATGTATCACCAAAACCTGACTGGACAACGAATACAAGGTTTCTCTCAATATGATGTGTCTGGCTGAGTTACAGGTCATTCACAACCTGAAATTGAAAGCAGTGAGGTGGAAGGCAATTGTGCATTGCAAGACCTTGTTTGTTGTGAGGAATATTGTTTCACAGGTCCTAGCAATATAGCAATATCCTTTTCTGAACTACAGCACTTGAATTTGGAGAGTGCGAGGATGGATTTGACCTAGTCTTGGAGGACATTTTCATTACTTCCTGATGATGGACAGATTACTACCTCCTTGCCTTTGGTGCCTGATAAATCCAGAGACTTCAAATTTATAGAAGCTATGGGAGAGGTCAGAAGTGACACTGATGGAAATGAAAATGAATATACTGGACAAGGATACAAACTTAAATTTTAGCCTATTAGGGTCTTGTGGAAAACGAAAGGACTCTTACGAATTCCAGAGGGTTTTAGCAGAGAGGTTTATTGCGCAGGTTCAGAAGCAATAGCAACAAGCAATTCTGAACCCCGAGGGCGGGTTCAAACTTCAGTTTTATACATTCCTTTTCTCAGGAACAAAGGAATACACATTGAAATACACATTGTAATACATTAGGTTCGTTTCTCACGGGTATACAATGGAGGGTTTGCTACATACATTGTATCCAGGTGCAATGCGCATTAGGTTAGTCACATACTACTGACACAGCACTATTCTAGTGATTGTTCATTATTCCATCTTATTCCCCCCTTTGGAAGTTTTCTTGCTTAAACTTCCATCATTCTTCCTCCAATTCAGGATCTTTAGAGGGCAACATTTCATATTCCCATAAAGCTAATATTGTTTCATGTTTTGCAGTTAATTGGGCTGTACTTTCTGAGATTCTTCGAATCATGGCCACAACACAGAGGAGTAAGCAGGGAATAAAAATACATCCTAGAATTAACAAGACTGCTATAACTATGATGGTTTATAGGGCTGGTAACTTTGGCCACCATCCTGAAAATATGTTTTCTAAATTAAATCCTGTCCAGGTTTGCACCGGAACATGAGCTAGTTTGACCATTTTATCTGTTATGTCCTTCATCACTTTTCCACTTTCATCTATTTCGATGCAACAGTTTGTTAGGTTGAATTTTCCACATACCCCTCCTTCTTTGGCCAACAGATAATCCAAGGCTAACCTATTTTGCATACTATATGTCTTGGATTTCACATTTTCTTTGGCCAATTCAGTTAGTCCCTTCACAGTCTCATTAGTAATTAACTCTACCACCGCTTGTAACCTAATGAGCCTGTTGAGCATATAAATAGGGGTACGGTATCCATACATTCCATCCTCAGCCCAAGTAGCCGGGCCGTAAGCTTTGATAATGCGGCAAGGTGGCCATTCATGTTCTTGCCAAGTGACTCCTGCGCATTGGGAGAGTACATTTAGTTCCCTTCTTTGTCTTACATTGCCAACTTCCTCATAGATGGGAACATCAAGAATTTGCTTAGTTTTTAATGGTAACTGAGCCGCCTTAATAAGTCTTTTAATCAAAGTTGCATATTGGGTGATCTTGCCTGTGGAGTCCAAATATCCTCTTTCTTTGTAGATGGCGGCATGTGCATGAATTGTTAAAAATGCATACTTACTGTCTGTATACACATTTAAAATCATTCCTGCAGCTATTTCCAATGCTCGGGTTAGGGCATATAATTCCGCAAATTGTGCACTTGCTTGGCTAGGTAATTGTGCTGATTCTATAGTTGCAGTTTGGGGAAAAATTGCATACCCAGAGTATCTAATTCCGTGATCCATAAAGCTGGATCCATTGGTAAACCACTGAAAGTCTGGATTATGCAATGGTTGGTCCGTAAGGTCAGGTCTGCAAGAATATTGTAGTTCTATTGTTTGCATGCAGTTATGCATGGGCATAGTTGAATCTGGTATTGGCATAAGAGTGGCCGGATTGAGAGTAGAGCATTGTTGCAGTGTAACTTGTGGATTTTCTAATAAAAGAGCCTGTATCTTATGCATCCTTTGATTGCTAATCCACAAATGTCCCTTATTGTCAGTAATTGTCTGCAGGGCATGACTAGTACAAACAGCCACCGGAGCAGAAAAGGTTAACTTATTTGCCTCCTGTAGTAACAGCATAACTGCTGCTAGAATTTTTAAACATTGTGGCCATCCTTGTGCTGCCATATCTAATTGCTTTGACAGATAAGCGACTGGGCGATTCCAATTTCCATGTTTTTGGGTAAGGACTCCTAAAGCCACATTCTGTCTCACATCAACATAAAGTGAAAATGACCTAGATATATCAGGTAGTCCTAGAGCCGGTGCTGTAGTGAGAGCTCGTTGAAGGTGTTGCATTGCTTGGGTCTGCTCTTGTTGCCACAAAAGAGGTTCCTTTTCTGGTCCTCTTAAAACTTGGTACAATGGTTTAGCTGTGAGAGCGAAATTAGGAATCCAAATTCTACAGAAGCCCGTAATCCCCAAAAAGGTTCTAACTTCCTGTTTTGTTTGGGGGATGGGAATCTGTAACACAGCTTGCTTTCTCTGGGGGACCAGAGTTCTCTGTCCTTGTGATAGTTCATAGCCTAAATACATTACAGTCATCTGAACTAATTGTGCTTTTCTTTTGGACACTCTGTAGCCACAGTCTTGTAACATCCTGAGCAGTTTGGATGTGTTTTCAAAGCAATCCTCCCTGTTTTATCCAGTTATCAGAACATCATCCATATATTGGAGGCAACAGTCCTCTTGTCTGACTAACTTCAAATATGCAAGATCTTGGGCTAAAGCTTGACCAAAACACATAGGTGAATTCTTAAAGCCTTGTGGTAGTCTAGTCCAGGTATATTGAGACTTAACTTGTGTCTTTGGATTAGCCCATTCAAATGCAAAGATCTGCTGACAACTCTCAGCTAAAAGTATGGTGAAAAACACATCCTTTAAGTCCACAACTGAAAACCATTTAGCGGATGCGGGTATTGTACTCAAAAGAATAAATGGATTAGGAACAGTCACGTGTAGGGTTAAGGTTAGTTTATTAACAGGGCAGAGATCTTGAACTGGTCTCCACTGTCCGTCGGGCTTACGAACAGGTAGAATTGCAGTATTCCAGGGTGACTGAATTTTTCTAATGATTTTTGCTATTAAATATTTTTGGATTAATTCTTGAATGGCAATAGCAGCCTCTGAAGTACAATATCGTTGGGGCACTCTAACAGGATATGCTTGCGGTTTTAGTTCCACCATAACAGGCATGGCATATTTCGCAAATCCAGGGGGGTTATCCTCTGCCCACAGGAGTGGGACATTAAATTGTTGCCACTTAGTGCTTTCTGTTTCTTCTTCAGTTACTAACATTATGCGCCATATTTCTT